CCGCGGTAGCCGCCGCCCCAGCCGCCGCCCGAGCGCTGGCCGGGGTACGCCGGCACCTTGCGCGCCGCCTCCTCGCCGGCCGGCAGCCGCGTCCGCGCGGCCGGCTGCGGCGCGATGTCCACGCGCCCGTCCGCGGCCACCGTCACGACCGACCTCCTCGAGTGCAGCAGCGTTTGGCTCTCGAGGATGCTCGTCAGGACGTCGGCGGCGGCCGTTGCGCGGGGCGGCGAGGGGATCGATATCATCTTCCTTCTCGCCTGCGACGATATCGTGATTTACGTCGATAGCGGTGCGTCAATAGCTACGGTGTGTGAGAAGTGGAAAGTTTGAAACCGTGCGGATTAAAAGAATACCTGTCTGTAAGCGCTGAGAATGCTCGAGGTCGGCCCGGCCGCGACGGCGACGCCGGCTCCCTCCGAGACGTCGCGCTCGTCCTCCGAGAAGTAGTCCAGCTGATTGGAGTTCCCGAATAGACTGAGAGCAGGGAGGCCGGCCTTCTGTCTGTGCGCCAACAGGCGACCCCCCGAGACCCCCCGGAGCGCGTCCTGGCGCTGGTCCAGGTGCAGGTCGGCGAGGCGCGCGCGCACGCTGGCGCGCACGTGCGTGCGCCTCGCCGCCGTGCGCGGTTGACGTTTACGCGTCTGCAAAGGCCCGCACCAGTCAATACTGGTACTATTTATTCACAATACCATTTATATTGCTTATTTATTTTCTGATAAGTGTCACCAATTCTTTTCATTTTGAATAAGTGTCCATTGTACAAATTCCTATTTTATAACACTGGCAGTTTTAACGGAAGATCCTGGTTTTTTAATGAGTTAATATGTTTTTATAAAATTTTTATAAAGTTTTCCTAAATAAATAAAAAACAAAACCTAGATTGTATTGTAACCGATACTGACCTTCCTTCTCTTTACTCTTCTTTTCACAGTTTTTGTTACAGGTAATTCTCCATTTTCCTCCACCTCATATTCAATTATGACAGTTTTTGCTCTTCTCCTTTTGTATTTCCTACGCTGCAATCCAGTTGGTCTTCTTCGAGTTGTCACTTGAGATCTACTGTTACGTGAAGACCTTGAGATGGTATGTCTCGAAGTAGATGGAGCACCATCCGCAAAGGAATGACGTTGGTGACTAGTCCCTGAAGAGGTGGAGGGCTCATTGATGGTATTAGATCTTCTAACAGATCTTCTCAGATTACTAGGTCCCTCTTGCAAGGATAGAATACGTCGTCCTTCAGGTAGATCTACATCAGCAATGTCAGTGAACAAATCGTCTAGCTCTGAGATATGGATAACATCCAAAATGTCATCACAGTTTGGACACAGCCACTGGTCTGCAGGAACCTGTTACAAAACCCAAACAGGATTTTATATTATGTATGCAAATATGTTAACACTTCATAGTACCATAAAAACAAATGACATATGTTAACAATTTAAAACAATAGTGTACACACGCCAGCACATCAAACTACACATTGACGTATCTTGTTCCATTGCAATGGAGGCAATTTTCGAACAAAATTGTGTAGTCTGATGTGCCTTTGTCTGTACAACAAAGGCGAGCTCTTCCCATAAAGAGATTTCTTTCAACTAAACTTTATTACTTTTAATGGACAGGTTAAATACATTAACTTGATATGTCATACTTCTGTCAATGGCGGTGTCAGACAGTGCATGTGGTAGCCAAGATCACACCCATCACACAGCAACATAGTTTCTTCATCCTCAGTACTTCCACATATCTATAAATGACAAACAAAAAATGTTGAGTAAGTCTTTCTAAAATGTAAATCTCACACCAAAAACTTCACTGACCTCACATGGAGTAGAATCCTCTATTACAAGCACCTCGACAGAAGGGCGACGTTCTGCAACTTTGACAAGATCTGTGCGTAGTACTCGCCCACCAGCACAAGCCCGTACTATTATTGAGTTGAATGTGATCCGATCCACAGGACATGTATTTACGTTTTTAGACCACTCAGTGATACAATCAAGGCAGAAGAGATGCTCACAGTTCTCTGGTGTTCCTACTTCTTGTTCCTTGAACCTTAATAAACAGATTGAGCACTTATCAGAGTTGCCTTCTGAGCTATCTGATACAAAGCCCAATGCATGTTTGGCTGCATTGGGGTCCGTGGAAGTTTTAGGTGCATCCGAGTGGTCGGTGGCCCAGCCTGATGTATCGCTGTCGGCGTCGGAATCGCGTAACGCAGGCAGACACCTACGTCGTGCCACAACAGAGCTGCTACTGCTATCGCTGCCCTCGTCACTAACAACCTGTAACACCACACGACAACTATACTTCGTTCCATATTCGTCCCAGCACTTGACTCTTCATTTTGAACTCGAATAATCACCCTCAGTCTCTTTCTACGTGTCGACACGGGAACGACGCTGCTGTCGCTGTCGGAGTCCGAGTTCGACGACAGCAATACCACTCTTTTTATCTTGCGACGCCGTGGACGGCCCAGGGACTCCTCGCTGCTATCTTCGCTCATCCTAGCGTACACTGGTCGCTTCTGAAACGCCTCACTATACTCGACACGAAGCAAGTCGCAAAGGTGTAAATGACCTTTGCCAATTGATGGTCAATATACTTAATATGCAATAGAACAAGATCATCGAATCTGAAATATAAAATATTTCATCTACGTTTACTAATTGGCTATATATACTAGAGTTCGCTTAAATTACAAAATTATTTTATTTTGACAGCAAGCCGCTTCCAAGACAGTCGGCCATTTTCGTTCACTATGTGTTATGTTTCCAATATTCAGTTAAATAGTTTAAAAGAAAAAGATAAAGAAATATATTTCCATCAAAATAAAAAGAGATGCAACATTAAAGATGTTTCCCCACTACGAGCTCTAGTTGTTTTGTTGAAAATGGAACGCCAAAGTAGTAGTGATGTACTTGATGTAGTATTTGCGGTAACGAAAGAAAAATGACTATATCGATTTTTTTTCGATAACTCACATCTCGTCTTTTACTCTTTTCGAGGCGACAACGCAGAACACGGACAAACACAGACAAATCCCTTCCCTTACCCCATCTCTCCATCTATTAGTTTGTGCATCTCTCTCTGCCTCGCTTCGCTGATCCATGTGCGGGCGGATGGTTCTTTGTGAAATATCCTATAGTTTTTTTAACAAAACAATCATTTATACACGAGATAAGTGTATAAAATGACTGCTGAAAACGAGCGTGAAATATATCACAAGTTGGAAGCCATGAAAGAGATCAGGTATATGCATTTTTGTCAAAATTGTTTGCACCTGTGGACTCGATCAATAAACACTTTAACACAAACTTAGTTTATTGTGCTTAAATTTTAAAGAAAATCGTATCGTATTATCATCAACCGTACCTATAACGGGCATGGACATTTGTAAGGACATATTCAGGAGAATATAGTTTACAAACTTGCCGAAGTTCAAGAATGTAAACAAAGCGTTTGGTAACAGCCGGTTATGTCGGTTGGGGTTCTTTTTCTCATGTGGTCTGTGTGCAGGAACAAGACGATATCGCTGGAGCGGCTAAAGCGCAGCATTGTGAACGAGGTGCGTAGTGGCGATCAGGAGGGGCGGTGTCTGGCGCAATACAAGCGCGAGATGGAGTTGCTGCAGCAGGAGAAGATGAGCCACGTCGAAGAGCTGCGCCAAATACACGCCGACATTAACGCTGTGAGTGATCAATGTGTTTAACTCCCACTGAAGTTGTCACAAAATGTACCTGCCTATTAGAAAAGTATATAACAAAAGAATTTAGGGGAAAAGATAATAATTGTATTTACCACAACTTCAAATCTCAAAAAATTATTAGTGTACCTAAACTCACATCACCTTAGACAACACCGTTTTACAGAATTGCAAATAATGATGTAAAAAATTGTCAGACAACCAATCCAATTACTTGGTCTCAAACCAAGGAATTCCATGTACTGTCCTGCAAACAGAGTAATGAAATTAACTCACTACCCAGCTAAACAGTCAGATCAGGTTGAATTTAGAAAAGATTGTATCCAAATTGGACCTTCTCGAAATCAAACCTGGGGCTACCATGTATATACTAGGTCACATATGTCATCAAAGTCAAATAATCATTTATTCCATTGGTAAAATTTTTACACTTTAAAATGTCATTTATTAAGCTACTGCTTGTTCACTACGCTGACCTCCCTGAGAAGAACGAACAAGAAACTCTAGAGATTGCTCTTTTCAAATTTAAACGTAAATGCTTTAGAATACATTTTGAATCATATCTGTGTGGAATCTAGACTAACATTGTCTTTCCATACATCTTTATCTAACATGTAGTCTACAAAATTGTAATATGACTTTTCAATTAAAATACTTTCAATGTAAGTTTTAAACTTAGAAAATGGTAAGCTTAATATATGTTCCAGAATCTTATACAGTTCCCCATAAAAGAATTGTTTACCTTAGTTAAACAAAATCTTGGTGCCATGTGTTTGGACTTAGTTTTAAGGTTAATATTATGGATATCTTCTTTTTTAACAAGAATATACAATAGAAATAGCAGATAGAACAAAAGTCAGGTTGCAGTGTCTGTGTTATAGAATGTTTATTGTTCCATTGTTATTGCGGGCAGTTTGCTTGGCCACAGCCGCCACCGGCTGCCACTCATCTCTCTGTTTATTTTCTTTGCCCACTCAACAGCTATTAGAAAGCAGTACACAGCTGTTGTAAATCAAACAACAACTTTTGCTTCTGGCTCTAAGGTTTTAACATTAATTTATGCACATGTGTTGATCCATTCTTGTGTCTTGGTGTTATTATGTTAAACAAAATATATTGGAATAAACAGTAATGGTCGTAATTCATGTTTAAAATTAAAGTACACTATGAGTTATTACATACTGTCATTTTCCAGATGGAGACAGTAATTAAGCAGACAGAGGAAAGCATGACGCGCAAGCTGTCGAACGCCAGTCGTTTGCATGAAGACTACCGGCCGCTTAAAGCTGAGGTGGACTTGCTGCGCCGCCAATACCTCGGTCTGGATCGCCTGCCAGATCTGCATGAAGAGGAGGGCAGCCCCATCACTCCAGAGTCAGTTATGTTGCACTTTATTTCTTTCAATGATTAAACGTATGCTCTGATACTGAGAGCGTGCCATTAATCTGTAAAGACTTCCCAGTGAAGATTCCCAGGGCGAACTCTTTCACATTTAGCAGTAGAGAACCTCGCGAAAGAGTTCGCCCAAGGAAGTACTCCCACCTTACCTACTTCTGCCGCCAAGCAGTAATGTAAGCATTATTGCGTTCCAGTTTGGAAGGATGGGACGTATCAACTTAAGATCTCTGCGATTTAAAGCTCTGAGTGGCACTGCAACTGTTGCGGATAGGCGTGTCGCTTACCACCAGGCGCACGACTCGTTGCCCCCTCACTTGTTATTATGAAAAAATCCTGTGAGTGTCCAAAGCCGCGTGTTGCAGCCGCTTCCCGCCGCTGTCGAGCGCGCCGGTGCGCTCGGTGCCGGCGTTTCTGGCGCCCGCGCCGCCGCGCAAGCCGCCGCCGCCGCCGCCCGCATTCAGGTCTGCCCTCGACCAAGATTTCCTTACCGTCTCGCTGAGGTTCGATTATGTTTCTTTATGTTTTTGTTTCTCCTATCGTCCTACTACCTACCACATACACTCCGTCGCTGTCCTTTTCGATGTTATCTTATTATCTTTCTATTTCAGTTTGTTATCCGCGGAAGGGACGCTTCCGACGTATTATCGATTACAGTTCCTTTTTATTTCTGAATGTTTTTTTTCAACTTATTGATTTTGCAAGCTTCGTCGAATGAGCCAATGGTAATTTAGCACAGAAGAAGAATTTACACGAATGCTAACCGTGGGAGCTCGGCGTGTATGTTGCAGGCAGCAGCCGCCGCCGATGAAGTCGTGCCTGTCGTGCCACCAACAGATTCACCGCAACGCGCCTATATGTCCTCTCTGCAAGGCCAAGAGCCGCAGCCGCAATCCCAAGAAGCCCAAGAAGAAATAGTCACCCACCGCCGACCACCAGACCGCTACCCGATCAAATCTTATTTGGTTTTAGTTGTTACTTCGTCGGTGTCTGCAAATTTTATAAACAACGAGGAAAGCTTACATGAAGTCACTTGTAATTGTAATTTTTGTTTAGGTAGTGACAGATTAGAAAAGCTTTAGGATGAATGTTCCATAATAAAAAATAAATCATAACATTTACATCACTACTGTAAAGTAATTCAAGAAATTTTCAACAGTTGTCAATCTCGTGCCAAATTAATATTTATTTAGGACTGTCGATCTCATGTAAATATTAAGGAGTATCTCTCCGATCCGTTGTACATTGTGTATATAAAATTAATTCGTATGTTATTAATTACGTATATGTACTATTATTCATTTGGTTACAAAGAAGAGCTTAGCGGGCAGTATTAAGTATTCAAATAATTGAAACATTAAGAATAAACATACAATATAGCCACTAACTTCCACTTTGTGTTTTTGTAATATTCTATAATAGGCAATGGCTGAGAATAGTCTCAAATTAGAAAACTACCTTCTAGAATATTGATGTGTGTATTTTTAAAATAAATAGTTGTAAGAAGTACCATTTGAATGACGCGACCTCTTAATGTTGATGCAATCGCCACGATTAATTAAGTAATACCTGATTTGCTAAGCGATCCCGTGGCACATCTGATATAGTAGATTCACTACGAGCAACTAAATTGAAGCCTGCATGTTTATGCGCTTGTAACACAACCATTTGATGAATTCCCAAAAAGCTCGCGTAACTAAATCAAATAAACGACAAGAGCGGTTGATCCCATGACTAACTCTGACTAATCAGTATTATTTATTGTTATTTTGTAGAACTACATTAAGCCTATGTATAAGTCGGCGTTGGTTGTCGCCGTAGAGCAACGCCGCGTCTGAATAATAGCGTCGACTTGATTGTGAATAGTTAGTTTTTACAATATATCACTCTCAATGTCAGCGGTTATTTCATTCCATTTTTCCTAAATCTTTGAGTCATATGGACATATTCAATACTGTGCTGTTCATAGAGATCAAAATATTTGTAGTCCTTTCTGTTCAGAATTTTTAAGGGCAATGCGTGTTCATCACAAAGCCGCGAAGTTCGGGGAAACAGATTTTGAGTAAATGAGTATTTTGTTGTATCTATTTGACACTGTTACTAATTATTATCAATATATAAATCTATTGGCTGACACTGGTCATGTGATGCGAGCGACCGATCGGGTCATCGGTCGCGCCGACTGCGCAGGCGCACTATAGAGTCATGTCATTATCGCGTACTTACTCTATAAAGTAGTATTATAATCTAGCGTACTCAACCTTTTTTCCTTCGGGCCACATACGTACATGTGTTATTACAATGTTACGCGGGCCGCAACATTTTTTGATCACCCATTTAAAATGAGTTAGTGGAGACTTGTATTTACTCCCCATATAATAATTTATAACACTAAACCAGAATATGTCCATACATAAAACTTAAATAATTATATCTCGTTAAAGATTTTAAAAAGTTATAAACCCCTAGCTTGGCGGTAAGAGTCGATACAACGCTACCTCGCCTCAAATTCTAATTTTTCCCGTACTTCATTTGGCTTGGGACAGTTTATTTCAGAATTTATGATTTTACAAACGAAAGCCATTTCAAAAATGTATATCGTATACTACACGAGTTCTATATAATTCAGTTGATATAAAAAAAAAATCATTGGTACTTATATGTAAACTACCTATTGAATACAGCGCGGTTTTCTTGTACAATTTCGAGGTTTTTGCTTTTTTTCTCTAGTGAACATTTTTAAGAATCGTGTTTTCACACCGTATAGTAATCAGTGCATATCCTCAATTAAAATTGATTCTATATATTTTTTCCAAAGTATTTGATTCAACACTTTCACTGTTATGCAGAGTCAACCAAAGCCATTTGAGGTTCTATAGACTCTTAATAATAGTATTTCGGGTCGCTCATAAACGCTTGGCGGGCCGCAAGACGAGGGCCACTGCTAAGTTCGCCACAGTCGAGCAGTCAGCTCATTAGCCATTAATCGGGCGTAAATCACTTTGATGACATTGTTTATCATATTTTAATTAAATGGTAACGACGCACACACTCCTTAGGTAATAACTATTGTGACAAATAAAATATTTGCTTCTGCAAATCGAAAGGTTCATATGATATGACTGCACTGATGAATAATAATATTCGTTACAATAAACTTAGAAATTTCCTGTAATTGAATGAATTGGATATTTAAGATGACGCATTTTAAAGAACGCTGAACTTTATGTCGGTAATGTAAGTAAGGTTTACTTACTTTATGTGTCGTTGTCACTGAAGCATCCAAGTGGCGGATGACTCAATGAAGCGAGGCGAACAAAACAATTAATTAATTGTTTTGGCACAATAGCAGCGTTTGTTTTAGTTAATCATATGTTTATAATTTAATTACTCGACACTATGAGACCATAACAGCCTTTCTTTTGCTTAATTTGTGCTAAATACCAATCCTTTGGTGAAAACAGAGGGTTCCTACATTATTTTTGTGCCGATTTCTGTTTAACCCATACGTTGACTTCCCACTGTAGGACACGGGGCCAAAGTCCACCAAGTTGGCAGAATGTGACATGCGGGGCAGGCACTTATATTGTATAGTATTCCCGTTAGTTTGATTATTAGGTACCTACTTGACGACCTCGATGGCCCAACGGTATGCGCTGTGGGCACCGGATGAGGAGGCCCCGGGTTCAATTCCCGGTAGGACTAATTTAGGAAATGAACATGTTTCATGGTTCTGTAGCGTCCGGTCCCAGAGTGATTCCCGTTGCTCCGGTGCTCATAGTTTGAGACCAACCACAGTAAGTAACTCGATTGTTCGCATGAATCACAAATAATCTTTTTTAAATCAATTGTTATTATTGCTTGAAGTAATTGGCAAAATCTCCGCGAACACTGGCAGCTCGAAATTCAGCCCGCTGAAGACCTCACGTACTCGATATTAACCAGTCAAAGTCAAATAATCATTTATTCCATAGGTAAAATTTATACACTTGAAAACGTCATTATTTAAGCTGCTGCTCATTCACTACGCTGACCTCTAGAGATTGCTCTTTTCAAATAAACTTAAATGCTATAGAATACAGTTTGAATCATAATTGTGTGGAATCTAGACTAGTTGTTTTACCATACTTCTTTATCTAAATATACCTACTCTTCAATTTTGCAATATGACTTTTCAATTAAAATACTTTTAATGTAAATTTTAAACTTAGGAAATGATAATCTTAATAATATGTTCTCCGGAATCTTATTGCAAAAACGTATACCTACAGTTCCCTGTAAAAGAATCATTTAGGTACCTTAGTTAAACGAAATCGTGGTACCATGAGTTTGGATTTAGTTCTAAGGTTAATATTATGGATGTTTTCTTTCTTAACGAAATTATGTATATTTTTACGGGCATACAAAATATTTGAGTAAATATAATGCGATGCCACAGTCATGATACCAGTCTCCTTAAACTTTTCTCTGAGAGAAACCCGAGAGCCTAGACGGTACACAGAACGAATCCTTCTTTTTTGCAACACAAATATGGTTTGTATATCTGCTGCTTTACCTCACATGAGAATCCCGTAGAACATTATACTATGGGAGTAACTAAACTAGTCTAGTAGTAGCAACATCGGTAAGCTCACGTATTCTACGGACTGCGTATGCAGCAGAGCTTAAATTGCTGGCTAAGGAAGATATACATAATATATGTGGAAACCATTGGAGTTTACTATCTAAAGTCGGTCCCAAAAAGACAGCTTTATGAACAAGGTCCAACTTTTCTCCGTTTATTTGTATGATTGGACTAGTTGATTTTACTTGACTTGGTATTGAGCAATAAATTGTTAACCTTAAACCAATAAACTACCTTTGAAAGGGTATCGTTAATACTATCATAGTTAATGTCGTGTCTGTCTGTTTTAAAAATCAAGGATGTCGTCAGCAAACAGTACTATTTCGCAAAGGTCCTTAACAAAGAATGGTATATCATTAATATAAATAAGAACGGTCCAAAGAGAACCCAAGGAAGTCACTCCATTCCTAACAGTTGTCGTAAATAGTAGACGCCCTGGCAAATCCCGTACTATCGTATTTACTGACTTGGATAACCTATATTATTAAACAATCTTACAGAACTTTTTTTTTATGATACCAATAGTGACGGGACGAACACGTGCGCCTGGTGGCCACGCAGAGCTTTAAATAACAAAGATCTATGGGGCACTGCCACTGCGCCCGTCACCCTGGGTCTTAAGACCCATCATGTAGGTACACTAGTTTCAAAACCGGAACTCAGCAATGCTCATATTACCGCTTGGCGGCAGAAATAAGTAAGGTGGGAGTACTTCCATGGACAAACCTTTTTCACAGGGAGCTGTGCTGCTACTAAAAACTTATTTTTATAATATTTGATAGTTGGATGTTTGATGTGATGCTGAACTTCGAACTGCTTTCCCCCTTTTCATTAATCATTGTTTGTAGGTATGTATAATTGAGTATTTGTGCACAACGGTGGTACTGTATGAACTCGTACAAGTGTGTCTTTGTGCAACTACTACCTTATTAGCTATAGCATAATTTCCGAAACTTTTTGGCTCACCGCCCACTTAGGAAACAAATTTCAACGCCCACCATCACAAAGAATACAATTTTATTTTTATATATATATATGAAACTGAAATGATAATGTCACTTGTTCACAAGCGTGGCGAAGTCAGAGAGAAAAGGCTGTTAATTTTCCTGAACAAAATTTCAAATTCAATGTTATAAATTTCATGGTTATTTAAGATGCTATGTTATTTAAAAGAAAACAATCCTTGTGATTGGGCTTTCGAACAGTATAGTAAAATTACAGGTGTATATTTTTCACATTGGCGGGTTCTAATCCCGGTTCAGACAGGCGATTATTTAAAAATCTTTGAATGCAGTTCAAATTGTTTTTAAAATCAAAATAAAATTTTCTATCCGGTATATACTTATGGTGTGTACTTTTCATCCGCGTGGCATAGCCGTGAGACGATATATATATATATATATATATATATATCGTATATATACATATATATGTATATGGTATAGTTTATATGGATAATTCAGGTTTTGAAATGAGGGTGACCTATGATTTTCGAAATTGATCGGTTTGATATTTCACCCTCACTCGCTGCGTCACACTAAATTTATTATTAGCCATCTAATGTTTCGAAAACCACTCAGGTGATTTTGTCATAGAGCTTTTCATGTCTTTATTAATGTAAGAGACACCCGACAAAACAAGTAAATTTATTGTAGCAGACGCTCTCGTATAAACCATTTATTCACCACATAAAAAATATATAGTAGATTGTACAACAAGTGCATAAAACGTGTCAATAAACCCGAGACGAGTATATCCCGACCGACCGAGTATAACCCGAGCCGTAGGCGAGGGTGGATAGGTACTTAAGTCGAGGGTAAAATGGGTGTTATGAACGAGTTATAAACTCTGCTTTTCATTTCGATTGCGAGAAAATTAAACAGCAATATTACAAGACGGTTATTTAATTAAAATTAAATGTAAAATTTGAACAATAAATTAGACATATTTAATGTGATGTTTTTTTATTTTATGCACTACAGCATAAAATCCTATTTTGTGCAGCCTACACCCAGCATAAATACGAACTTTAAGAGCATGAGAAGTGAAAAATAGCTAATTCAACTATATGTACCTAAAACACGCAGACACAAAACTTAAACCAAAATTTAAAACTAATGCAACTTACTAATACAAAGCACCTTTCTATCATTAGGGAACTAGACGTAGGCTAGGGTAGAACAAACAAGGGTAGGGTTAAGTTTTTAAGTGCATGCTACATCGTCGATCCCATTCGTCACTTTCTGTCAGGTAAGACGGAGATCAAATGCGCGCCCACTTATTTTTTTTAATCAAAAAAATCAAATAGCTTTCCACACATAGAGCAACTATTAGTAATAACTAATTCAGATTACTAAACTAGATTGAATGCAATGATCTTATAAACAAAAAGTTAAATCTAATATTATTAGTATTGTATTATCTGTGCTAGAGGTATGCTTTCTTCTTTCTATGCCTTCAAAAATAAACCCTTGAGCCACGTCAAAAAAACGCTTGGGAGACGTCACGCGATAGACCAAACAAAACCCATGCCGAAATTGTTGTTCAAAGACTAGGTGTTTACGAACTAGAGGTCAAATAGAAGTCCCTAGAAAAAATGTGTCACTTGTTTTAATGAAGGTATTCTCCAAAGTTACAACATCACACTTGATGGGTCAGCTGCTCTGCTGACTGAAATGGAATGGACTACACCTTTTAAGGCTGCTACGGTAGATTATGCTGGCTTCGTAAATGTTTTCATCACGTAGAAGGACTAACGCGTAGCAGGGTTATATTTATTTAATTATATCGTACTCGTGCTATTAAAGTTGTACCAGGTTTTATGGTAGCTTTAAAGACGTTTTACGTCGCGACGAGGTCACAATAAAATCTTTTTAGCGACATCGGCACAAGTTTTGTTAGTACTCGGAAGATCTTTAACCGACCAAAGTCCGCCCGTTCCACTAGTCCCACATCGTCGACGTCAGGAACGATCACGCTCTTAGGGCCGTATTTCAGAACTCAACTCAATGCTCAGGTCCGGATTTGAGTATGGTTTAAAGCACTCGAAATCATACTCGAGGCCCTGCCATTAGGGTCGTATTTCTTGAGCATTGAGTAGAGTTCTGGAATACGACCCTTAAACTTGAGTATACAGATTAGCGTTTTATGCTCATGCTCTAATTTTTGCGGGAAGCAAAAAAGTACGTGTCGCGCTTTGGCATCGAAAAAGGGTAACGACGATAGTGTTTCAACTTACTCGAGGAGTTATTTACGACGCTATTGCAGGTGAAGCGTTTATCGGTCTCCTCCTTAAGCAACGATCGGAATGATCCGGCACCCTCGACATGACCGGGTGACCGGCGGAGATATTTCTTACAGCCATAAAGAAAAAACTTTTAGTAAAAATATATTTATTGATCTTACATTTATAACATTCACACAATAAGCTAGCAAATCACACGAGTTACTTAATTTCACCTAAGCTTAAGACTAGCGCCGACGCCCGGCCTCGGCGCCGCTAGACCAGCGGGAAGGAGGCGGAGCTGGCGATGCCGCAGTGGTTGTCGCGGTTGCGCGCCATCTTGATGTAGCCCAGCTCGCCCCACGAGCGGCCCCACGAGTTCTTCACCAGCCAGTAGTCGCCGCCGTCCTCGTCCGAGCCGTAGCCCACCACCAGCACCTGCCGGACGCGGCCGCACTTTTATTGTCACATTACAACGAAACGCAATCGGCGAGCAGACTTTTGACCCGTCGTCGAATCGTTCGATTCTGCAAACCGTATTCCCGTCCGTTACGCTACACTGCGTACTCGACAATCGGAACCGACGCATGCGACGACCCGTGTGCGAGTCGGTTGCGCTGAAGGACTAATATGGACTTTTGGGACAATCTCGAGCCTGCGGGACGACGAGATTTGGTGCAGGCGCTCGAGGAAAGCCACTCACCCCGTGGTCGAGGTTGTTGCTGGAGCAATTCTCGTCGTAGTAGACGCCGTCCGAGTACAGCTGGAAGGTCTCGAGCGAGGCGTCGATGGCGACGGAGACGGGCCCTTGCGTGGCCACGGCGGCCATCAGCTTGGCCTCGTCGCCCGCCGGCACATCCACGAAGCCTACGTCGTCGGCGCCCGCGTTCTTAGGGTTGTACCTGTGGATTTGTATTCAATATTTCCGTTACGGGCAAACACGGCGAATCGCACGGGTCAGACCATCAATAAGGACGGCTCGCGATGACTCGCGTTACAAGCAGGTCAACACCAAAACTTCCTGTTAATTATAAGAAACTGGTGGAGTAATTTCACGAAAAAAAAGAAAAAAAAAAGAATATCGTGGTAGTAAAACATTGTAACATTCGATTGTGAAGTCGACCACCACTTCACATGACAACAAAACTTTTGAATTCTACTACGCCTTCTGAATTCGACGCGACAGAGTTTCATATCTACCAGGTTGTTGACAATTCCGCTTAGTAATGGGTTTACTTATTTAAAATGAAGTATATTTTAAGCAAAGACACTTTGCGGCTCCTTTAGTACGTAAAGAGTGAAGAACCCAACCGGCACTTGTCGTCCTTGGCCTCGTAGGGATAGCTCTTCTCGGTGTCGATGCCGTCGTTGTCCTTGATATACTTGAACGCGTTGTCCATGAGACCACCGTTGCAGCCGTTGTTGCCGTACGCGCTCGAGCAGTCCACTAGGTTCTGCTCCGACAGGGACACTAGGTATCCCGTCTTGCGGAAGTGCTGCCCTTCCAGCGAACCAGTCTACGACAACAGGATCGTTTCAGAAAACATTCACGCTTCCACACTTAAATCCGAGACATATAAATTTAGAAATATTAAAAACATTATCTGGCCGATTCATATTTTGATTACGTTGTTTCAGGCTATTATTACTTCCCCCAAAATTGGACAAAGCAAAGAACAATGACTCAATTAGGGCTAGGTATCACAACCGATCACGATATAGATAAAAAAACCTATTGAAGATAAAACAAGTAGTGTAATCTATATTATATATACAGTATGTTTTGTTACTAACGTGACACGTCAAATGTAGAAGAGTTTTCGCAAGTTGAAAACAAAGCTAAGTTATTTGCGTTTCGATTTCCGATAAGACGCTGTGTGATGACCCGCGAGTGACCTGTCGGCGCCGATTCGGCCTCACGCTTATCCTATTAATTGTAAACGGACAGAGATACTGTGCACACACAAGCAAATAACAGAAATTACGTTTCCATCATTTTATTATACCTAATTGTTAACCAAACATATAAACGTACTGCAGCTAACCGCAAAGTTCAACCCAGTCATCATCGTTAACCCATAAGTCCCTCTGCTGAGCAAGTGTCGATTAGAGTCGGCGCGGGTTTAGACAAAGAGATTGAACATTGTACGAGTCGCAAGCAGGTGTTACATTTTCCTTCGCCGTTCTTAAAGGTAGTGCTCCTAAATATTCTCAAATGTACTAAATTAGAAACTGAAATCTTAGGTACACACTGCCTATGAATTCCAACTGTAAATCTCTCAATTGAAAAGTAACCCACTGAGCTAGCCCTACACGATCCAATAATAAGCACAGATCTCCACTGGAGCGGTTGTCGCGATGTTGTAAGTAAACAAATCGACAAGCAAACAACGCGTGCTGGTGCAACCCACGCACCCGATTAAATTTGTACCTAAGTATTTGTAGAAAAACAATGTTTCTTATTATTAATGCGGATGAAATAAAAATGTAAGAAAGTGACTCAGCTGCCGTGAGTAAACCGTCTGCGACAATCGCTCGGCCAGTGGGTTGTAGGTCCATTGTCCTCGATACAGTATGTGTACAATCTCTGTGGAGGTACACTTGTACAAAGACTGATTTAACTAAAATACATATAACAAGGACTTCATTTACATAAACCTGGGTCATACATTTTGTTATTTTTAAAACTTCGTACCCGATCACTCCAAGAATCCTAGCACTGTAATTTGAGGCTTTTGCACAGGTGAACAATACTGTAACTATTTAGACTTGTCGAGTTCTTAGATTTTAGCGTTTGTTGCACATAGAATATGAAACTTTTTCGGATTTCAATCGCGTATATTTGTTGTTTTTTTAAACAAACCAACGTTTCGAACCCTAAACGAAAAAATACTTTAATTTCCCATATTTAAACATGATCTATCCGACGTCGAGTAATAAGAAAAAACATTTGTAATAAGGAACATACTCTTCCTCATCGTAATGAACGTTTTGCTTTACTTTTTCCTCTTACTTTTGACGCAAATTCAAGGGTGAAGTCACCCGGTTCGTAGTCGTCTTAGTGACAACATTTTGTGGGTTTCAGTGACGACGACGAGCGCTTTCATTTTGAAATAACAGCACCTAGGCGACTACGGACGGAGTGGACGGTAAGGGACGAGGGTGGACTCACCGTGCTGAAGGCCCAGCAGGAGCCGCACTTGCCCTGGTCCTTGACGTCGGTGACGGCGCCCTTGCGGCGCCAGTCCACCTCGGCGGGCAGCGCCACGCCGGCGGGCGCCAGGTACGTCGCGCCGCGCTGCGCCTGCCCGCGGACGCCTGCGAGTCTGCCGGACGACGGACGACGTCACTCGCCTCTGCCGGCCCGCGCCTTCCCGCGCCTTCCCGCGCCGGCAGAGGGCGAGGACGAACAGCTTCAGCGATTATCCTACTCTATAGCTGCTGCACTTGGACCCAATTTATTCGCAGTAAAGATAATAAATCCATCAAAACGAAATTGGTTGCGGATATTATTAAGAATTTTATTAAACTTTTGTCACCTCGACGGGCTTTCTGAATAGTAAGCTTGCATACTATTATTAATAATTATCACGCTTTGTTTGATATAATATATTTACCGACCGGAGTAGTACGCAATTTGTTACATGATACAGACCTACGTGTCTGGATGCGATGAGATAACGCCGCATGCTTAAAAGTACGTAACGATCATAATTACATATTTAACATCGTTATTTTAAAAATGAAAACTACATTTTGAAATCAAATCAATCATCAATCACTTGACTAATCTCAAATTATGATCGTAAAAGTTCACCATCATCTAAATTTGTCGCGTAAAATTAAGATGAACGTCATTTTGCGGCTTTAGTAATTTAAGCTTAAAAAGTGTATAAGTGGAAACGCCACATACGCCCTTTTAAATAAGCAAGAAATAAACTTCGACTAATTATTGCATTTAATTATACGTGTTTACTAAGCAGTCACACAGTTGCAATTAAGCCAGTGAGATATTTTTAAAACAACTCTCACGCGTTGTTCTGCCTACATCGGTACTTACGAGTTAGTTACTGGAATTGACATAGTACCTACTACGCATTTAAAAACAGTTAAAACAACAACACAATCATGGACTGTTGTAATAATACAAAGAGGAAAGTTATCAATTTTCGTCGTGCGCTGGATATATGAGATACTAACTAAATTAGTATTCTTTCAACAACAATTTATCACGAGATTATCTTTAAGAATTTAGATCAGAGCTCTAAAATTGGTCGAATTTCTAAACTGAGTCTATAACCCGATATACTTAGTAACTGCATTAGACTCTGATCATCGATGTTTTAACGGTTTTTCACAAGCTTCGCTTGCTGTTAAGAAACTCGTTTAGGCATTTGTTCACTTTGTGTGTTTATTGGTTATAATAACTGAAAATTAGAAAACTATACGTATCTATATACGTATACATTTCTGTAAGTGGGTCGTGTCGGCGTAGTTACTCGTGCTTTGTAGTGACGCGATCATACGTGTATGGTGACTGATCTGGTGACGGCGACGTCGTACATGAAATGATACCAGTGGTAATTGATAGACCTACAATACTGGATAAATCTCTTGGTGGTTAGCAATGAATAATGAGCCAAATAAATTATTTATACTCAACTCGTAGCAATCGCTTTTCATTTTTTTATAACTCCCTCATACTATATCAAACAAGCACTACATGGACAGGAAAGAGTGAAGAAGTGGCGTGTCCGGCCGCAAGAACTTGTGGCTTTACACTCTGAATTTAGCAATGGCGGCAATGAACGTCCGAGTTAAACCGGTTTATTTAGGTTCAATATCGGTAAACACCTTTAAAACATGTGTTCAATTAACCGGTAAAACAATGAACCATAAATTATAATCATTATCAGTTCATGATAAATTAATTGCCGATTTCAAATCCTGGTTTCGACCAGACACGGACACGTCTGATACCATATCAATATTACACTTAGTAACTTTAGTTATATATATATATAAAAGAATATAAGGAAGACAGGGACTGACTTGTGCGAAGTCCTGTTGAATCCATTCATGATGTGCACAAACTCATGGTGCAGCAGGTCGCCGTACTTATTCTGTTTGAGACGGAACGATACCAGGCCCTGTTTAAAGCGCTGATTGTGCTTGGCGATCTTGTGCTTGTTCTCTGCATAGATCTTCAAGCGGAACTTGTCCTCCAGTTCACTCTCATATGTCTTGTTGTGCTCCATCTGGATGATACATTATAGTTGTACATTGGTATTTATGTGGCTATACATATTATGTTATCAGCTGTTACCTACTGAAAATAGTGTGTAATCAAGAGAATTTTACACTTAAAAAACTGAACTGAATCGAGTCCTTAGGTTTTCGGGATTGTTACACTTATAAAATCAAACTATTTTTCCGGATTTAAAT